GGGTGAACACCCATCCCTGCTTCCCCCCAGCAGCTGCAAAACCTCGGAGCGCAAGAGCCAGGGAGGAAAAGCCGAGGCCAGGAGCCGTGGGGGGGCCAAGGAGAAGACCCTGGAGTGTGGGCAGATTGTGTGGGGCCTGGCCTTCAGCGCCTGGCCCGCGGCTGAGGAGGGGGACGCGGATCCCGCCTGTGCCCTGGGGCTTCCCTGCCTGGTCCTGGCCACCGGGCTCAACGACGGGCAGATCAAGGTCTGGGAGGTGCAGACAGGTGAGGGGGCCTTGCTGTCGTGGGTTCAGGCTGCTGCCTCTCCCCTTGTTCCCCCGTGGAAGGAAATCCCATCTCCATCTTCCCCCGATACCTCCCCTGCCCTGTCCCTGGGCAGGGATGGCCCTGAGGGTGGCTCTTCTCCTCAGGGCACCTCCTCTTCAGCCTCTTGGGGCACCAGGATGTCGTCAGAGACCTGAGCTTTGCTCCCAATGGAAGCCCCATCCTCGTGTCGGCCTCGCGGGACAAGACCTTGCGCGTGTGGGACCTGAGCAGAGACGGTGGGAGCCTGCAAGGATGTCCCTGTGCAGGGACAGCCCTGGCTCAGGAAAGGGGGAGAAACCCACCTGGGGCTCGGGGAAGGGGGAGGAACCCACCTTGGATTCAGGAAAGGGGGAGGAACCCACCTTAGGCTCAGGAAAGGGGAAGGAACTCACCTTGGATTCAGGAAAGGGGGAGGAACCCACCTTAGGCTCAGGAAAGGGGAAGGAACTCACCTTGGATTCAGGACAGCGGGAGAAACCCACCTTGATGGGAAGATGTTTGGAGAGGACCTTTGGGGACAGTATTTGAGGCAGAAAGGGACAGCCCTGTGACAGGGAGCTGAGTCATCCCCTTCCAGGTGGGATCTGGGAGGTGCAAGAGGGGGTTGCAATTAGGCAGAGCTTGGGATGAGCCCAGGGAACCCCCAGCCCAAGCTGGTCAGAGCACAGTGCCCATAATGCCGAGGTTGTGGGTTGTGGGGTTGATCCTTGTGGGGGCTTCACTCACAGCCTGGACTCGATGATCCCTGTGGGCCCCTTCCAGTCAGGATATTCTGTGCCTGTGTGAGTTCCTGCTGGGAGCTGCGTGTCCTGCTGCCCTCAGGTGACACGAGTGCTGTCCCCAGGGCGGCAGGTGCAGGTGCTGGTGGGCCACGTGCAGTGGGTGTACTGCTGCTCCATCTCCCCGGACTGCAGCATGCTCTGCTCCGCCGCCGGAGAGAAGTCGGTGAGTCCTGTGCCCCTGTGTCCCACTGAGTCCACCCTGTGTCCCACTGAGTCCACCCTCCGTGTCCCACTGAGTCCACCCTCCGTGTCCCACTGAGTCCACCCTCTGTGTCCCCCGGCACGAGAAACCTCCTGGGGAGAGGGGGCCAAGCCCTTGCTGCTCAGCCATGCAGGCTCCGTGTGGAGCTGGGTGCTGGGAGCTGGTGAATCATAGAATCATAGACTCAGCTGGGTTGGAAGGGGCCTCTGAGATCATCAAGTCCAACCCTTGATCCACTACTGCCGTGGTTGCTACACCATGGCACT